GGATGGATGGATGGATGGATGGATGGATGGATGGATGGATGGATGGACGGACGGATGGACGGATGGATGGATAATTTTCAAGGTCTGACATTGACCACATTCAATGTATACATTAAATCTGAGGGAAAGCAAATAAAGGCAAGTCTGGGTTTATAAGTAATTTCAGAGAGTACTGCAGTTGAGCTTTTTGGTTTGACAGCTCTGTATCCTCTCATCCCTCCTGATGTTTTTTTCTGGATAAATTTACCAAACTCTACTTATAAAATACCTGAAATGTGTATTATTCTGTAAACTTAGGTGTTTGTCACACTTGTATGGAAAACAGAAGAAAAAAAAGTATGTCTCTAGGAAAAAAAAAACCTCCTTAATCTAGATTTTCGTGTCAGTTTGATTAAGTTCAGTGGGACAGTGATGTCTTTTGTGACCTAATGATATTTTTATAAGGTCAAAGTCTTGCCTGTTTCTGAAATGACAAATATGTCAACCTTCTGTTTCTCACAGCTGACACCAATGTTTTTCCAGAACAACAGTGTAGTGAACCTGATCTGACCTCAAATCTGATCAGATGAACAGAGACTGTTATTTCATTGATCTGCATCCAGAAATACAGTTTGAGCCATCTGGGGACTTTCTTTCTTGAATTAATCAAGTAGAAAAGACAATTCTCTATGATCATTACTGTTTTACAAATGTTTGATAATCAAATTGTGTTAGTTCACTCAATGCTGAAGAGAACTACTCATTTTTATTTTACATAAACAGTAAGTAATGATTTTTATTCCTCATTCAAAGAAGAAATCAGGTTAATATGTATTTCTTGATTTTTCTGTCTGTAATGAGCGAGTTTGTAAGTATGTTAAAGGCCGAGTCTCGGTCAACTAAAATGTTTACCGAGAAGAAATGTCATGTTTAATCTTTACAGAAGATACAGAAGAGTTTGACTCCACGAAGTCTGCTTTTTCTCCAATAATCTTTTCTGTCTGTTAAGCAATCTCATTCTCTGCCCTTGACTTTTGATAACATCTTACGTCACAAAACACACCTCTATTCTGCTCCATCCACGAATCAGAAAGCTCTAAATTGACCCGGAAGTCAACTCATTTAAAATGTGGCAACTTCCCGGTTCTAAAAAGGAGTCTGAAGTCTGAAGCCAGACACTGAAGATTAATGGAGCTGAGAGTCTGATGCTGCAGAGCTCTGAGAGTTCCACACAGAGTGCTGAAGAGTGATGGAGTTAAAGTGTAAGAGTGTAACAGAGTTCTAACTCATGAAGAGAGTTAAAGGATCCAGATGCAGAGACGTTTTGGGATTATAATTTCTGTTTGGATAACCTCGTACGACTCTCTAAGGGTTTGGCAGTTCTCACGGAGACGCTGAAAGAGTCAGAAAGGAACCCTACGCCGACGCTGATTTTATCGTCAACCAGGTAGAAGGTTCTATTTTCGACCAAGTGTACCGTGGGCAAGCTGAGATCTGATGGAGCGTGCACGTTTCTGGTCAAACAGATTAATTCCCTCACAAATCTCTCTGTAAGATAAATCTCCATTTCCATCTTAAACTCTGCTTTCCCTTAAAATCAGTACAGATATTTTAGAAATATCTGAAGCAAAGTCCTCGATCACCGCCGTGTGATTGAAGTCCATTATCTGTGAAACTTGTCTGTTATTATTTTCATATTTTGCCAAATTAATGTAAATGTTTGATGTTAAACTTTGATTCTGAAAATAAATGACCGCATTCATTTGATGGGTCAAAGATAAAT